CCACTAGCCCCTTCCCTGTCCCACGGGTGCCTCTGCAGCAGGGGCGCACGGCCCATGGCTCAGGGGGAGCAGCACCAGAGCCGTTGCTGGAGGGGTGCTGGCCAGTGCCCTGCAAGCCCTGGCTCGGCAACGTCACCCTTTCCCTCGCAGCAAAGCGAGGCGGAGGAGGGAGATGCTGAGGGACCAGCACCGCGGTGTGGTGCGGGCAGGGGAGCGCAGGGTGGGTCGCTGGTGCGCTCTGGCGGCTGCAAGCCACCGCTGCCAGCCCTGCTGCCTGCAGCTGCTGCCTGTCGTGTACAGGCTGCGACCTCTCTGCCTGCACAGACCCGTAATTAAATGGTTTTTCATTGACTAATAATAGGTCTAAATGAAGGAGGCACTTGCTTCCAGTGTGCTAGTGCTCCCTTGCGCTTTCCCTAAGAAAACTCCAGCCGTTGCTGAATTCTGTGAGTTTTCTAGCCCCTGCTAGGCTGATGCTGGAGGGTGATATGTGTCCAGGCAGGCATGGAGGGATGTAAAGGGGTGTCTTTTTTCATTAGCTGGGAATGTCCCTTGTGACCTTCTGGGCTTAGGGGTGCATGGGAGCAGCTGGGCAGGAGCCTTCCTGGAGCAGCACGGATTTGGGAAGGGTTTTAGCGGGCTCCCAAGAGAGCACTACCTCGTTGAGGTGTCTTTTCTTCTTGGGAAAGCGGGTGTTGGAGGTGTCCCCTTTGCCATGGCATTGTTCTGCGTGGTGGTCCTGCAGGCACGTGTCACCCCGAGCGTCGGAGCTCTCCTCAGGTCTCCTGGCTGTAGCCCAGCACAGCCCTTGGGTGCTGCGGGAGGTGCAGTGAGCCTGAGGTGCAAGTGGAAAGGATGCTGTTTCGGGGGAGCCTGGGAGAGGGAGCAGTCCTTTGAGGCAAGGGAAAGCGTCTCTCGTGCTCTCCCTGGCACCCTCTCGCACTGGGTTTGTGAGCAGCCGGGGGGAGGAAGCAGCACTCGTGGCACTGGGGCTGGCGTTGGGATCCCTGGGCTCAGCCCGGCTGCCGCTGTGCCCGCACCTTCCCCCAAAGCAGTGGGTGCTGCGGGGAGGGAAAG